GGAGAGTGCTGTTGCTCTGAGGAGATTGCAACTAATGCCACAGAACAGAATGTGTATAAATTGTTCAATAGGAAACTAATGTGCTCTGTAAACTTTCACCCAAACCACAATAAAATGTTAAAAAAAAAAAAAAAGCCATTAATGTACACATCTGCTCTCTCTAGTAGACAGAATAATTTCCTTTTTTTGGGGAAAAAAAACCTCACCAAACCCACTGCTGTCAAGTCTATTCCTACTCATGGTGACTCTATAGGACAGAATAGAACTGCCTTTTTGAGTTTCCAAGATTGTAAATCTATGGAAGCAGACTGCCATATCTTTTTCTTGCAGAGTGCCTGATGGGTTCCAATTGCCCACCTTTCAGTTAGCAGCCATGTGCTTTAACCACTAACTCAAACTCACTGCTGTCAAGTTGAATTTCATAGCAGCCATTACTTGGGTTTCCGAGGCAGTATCTCTGTGGAAGTAGATTTCCCAGTCTTCCAAGGAGTGGCTGGTGGTTTGAACTGCCAGCCTTCTGGTTAGCAGTCAAATGCCTTAGGCACTATGCCACCAGAGCTCCCCTTTAACCTCTACACCATGAAAGTGGTAGCATGTGGGGGGACCACAGACAGAGCAGCGCCAGGGATCTCAGGTAAGGGGAGGGACCCAGGCCCCACCCCCAAGAGGCAGGAAGTAGAGAAGTTTCGAACAGCTATGAGAGACAAATTTGTCTGTCAATTTGTTGTACTGTGGTAGCTTGCATGTTGCTGTGAGGCTTGAAGCTGTGCCACCGGTGTTTCAAATGCCAGCAGGGTTGCACATGATCCACAGGTTTCAATGCAGCTTACAGACTGAGACAGACAGGGAAGAAGGAAGAGGCCATCCACTTTTCAAAGAATTGGACAGTGAAAACCTTATGAATAGAAGACAAACACTGATAAATTACTGAGCAATTCAAAGAAGAGCCCAGAAACATTGTCTGATACAGTGCAGGAAGACAAGCCCCTTAGGTCGGAAGTCTCGCAAAATACGACTGGGAAAGAGCTGCATCATCAGAATAGAACCAACCTTACTGATATGGATAAAGTAAAGCTTTTGAGACCTCCATTTGCTGACATGGCATGACTCAAATGGAGGAGAAACAGCTGCAAACATCCATTAATAATTGGAACATGGAATATACAAGTATGAATCTAGGAAAATTGGAAGCTGTCAAAAATGAAATGGAAAACATAAATATTGATATTCTAGGCATTAGTGAGAAGCTCTAGTAGCATAGTGCCTAAGGCGCTTGACTGCTAACCAAAAGGCTGGTGGTTCAAACCCACCAGCCACTCCTCGGAAGGAAGGTTGGGCAATCCTACTTCCGTAGTG